GTTTTCCCAGAAGGTCTCCCATCCAGGTACTAACCAGGCTCAGCCCTGGAAACCAGTCTTGGGCTACAGGGTGATATGGCTGCTGGCCCCTCAATAGCGAAGCTATTTTATTACTAAAATTCACGGGCAGTGTTGATAACAAGTTTCTGTGCACCTGAATGTTTCTGTGTGTGTGCAGCGCGATCTCCACTCTCTGTTTGCAAGTGACGTATGCGTGTGTGCGCTTCAATGAAACAGTGCATTCATTAATATAGAACGGTGATTCAACTGACTTGGACTACCTGTGCATTAAACGTTTTTATTGAGAATCAAGTATTCAGACAGATCATGGTATAAGCTCAATTAATTAATCTTTACCATCTATAAATTAGCCAATCCAAGTGTGAGACAAAAGGATCTGGGGCAGTTTACTTTCTGTAATCTATTAACAGTTTTCCTCAGGGTACTCACATCTGAAATCAGTCACGTATGAAAGTCTCAGGGGCAGGGAAGAAATTAGCTGCTGTTTACTTACGTTCATCCAAGAAGAGACACTTAAGGGGAAAATTAGCATTGTGAGGTAATGTGTTTCAGAAGTTTGCAGCTAAAATGTTCTGCGTATATGTGTCTGTGTGCGTTAGGAAGTGATGTGGTGCTAGACGGTGGCCCAAAAATATTTCTTTCTCTGTCCTTAATAAAGAGTGTGATTAAAAAAGACACACCTGTGTTCAGATTTAGCCCCTGAGCAAACACACACATACACACAAATAAGACACACGGGCCCCTCAGCTGCTTCAATTCTGAAGACGCATCTGCGGCCACACACCTACAGGGATTTTCACACTCCTGCACATCCATGGCCTAAGAATAAAACAGCATGTAACCCCCCAGGACACAAATACTAATTATATTCCCACAGTATCCCACAAATTCCGTGCACTATTAAGGAAACAGGCTGCGTGATCCTTCAGAGGTCATTTTGAAATGCTGATTTGGTTCTCAAGTCGCATTTATTATAATTACAAATTTTGAAAAGTTTTGTACTGCTTAATAAAGGAAACCTTGATACTTTTTTCAGGATTCAGTGTTTCCCCTACCATTGTCCGTTGTATTAATGTGACAGTTGTATTAATTATACAGTAGAATTTAGATATGTCTCAATAATAGTACTAACACAAATAAATTATCATCAAAACTTTATTATTTAAGGAATAATCTAAATGTTTCTTCCATGTTTTAATTTGAACAGTAAAGCTCGTTGTGCAGCATGTTGTTTGAAAAAAAGTTTGTTTAATTTCATATTTAAAAGAGATTAAATTAAGGTTTTATATCTTAATTTGATTACCAGAAAAAAACACAACGAATTTGTGTAAAACAAAAAAAAGTCATAGACATATCTATTTTTAAATGTTGTATAAGTTTAATAATTGTATGAGTTTCATGATTTCAATTAATTAGACATGCTTTTTGATTACTAAATTTTTTATTCAACCATTAAAACCATTAAAAGTCCAAAAAACAGGCTGCAGGGGGAACATCTTGAGGCCTGCATGAGGGTGGATCCCCAGATGGAGACTATGTTGTAAATAGTTGTGTGATGTGTAAATAAATGTTGTTTATATTTATTTACCAAATGATAAAAAAGATAAAAAAGAAAGTTCAAAAGAACAACTAACTATGTTATGTCATAATATATACTGTAGTATAAATTAAACAATATATAGTATGAAAACCTGGATGCAGCCTTATTCTTTAAACACTATTATACAGTATGTGTGTGTCTGAATGAGCTCTGGGCCTTTAAATGCATAATACAACTGTAAGTGTAAGATTGAATGTGTAAGATTATTTATTCTTTCTTTGTGTCTGTATGCCTCACTGTGCACTGTTCTCTGTGGAGCTATTTTTGTAGTAAAATATTAAATGGTACACAGCTCATACGCACACACAGACACACACTTACGTTGTAAGTCAGTGTTAGATCTCCCAGGGCCTTTACTAATATTTTATCTCTCTCCTACACGTGCACACAAACACAAATCTACCAGGACAATTGGTGATTTAACCCTGGAGAGCTGTAAAAAGAGCAATTCAAAGAGCAATTTATGGCCAGAGTATCCCACTCTATGAATGGACTTTATAAACCCACAGCAGATTTGCCCTTGATTTAGAATGATTCACAGAGTTGTAGTCAAATGATCTGAATGAAAAAAAAAAAAAAAACTTTTTAAACTTTATTCCACAGTGTGGTTCCAGACACTAAGCCCTTTTACAATTCTAAAGCCTGTGGACATATACAAATACACATGCACATTCACCTCTCAAAAGTGCTCTTTTCAGATCATCCATTTTATGTACAATTAACCATTTGTGATATTGGGCTAATGATTTAATGCTTAGTGCATCTCAGCTTAGAAAGAAAAAATATGTTTTACTGTAGGGCTCGATTGGTTTTATTTACCATTTTTAAATGTTTTAGAAATATTTAAACAAATGATTTTAGTAAAAAAATACAAATAAATTAAAAAAAAGAGTATAGATAAGATATACAGTTTTTGTTATATGGCCGAGACCTATTTAAACCTCATACAAGGCTGAAAAGTGAAAGGGGAAGTGTATACTTTGTGTCTGTTCTGTTGTTTTCCGCAGAAATTACACACATCATGTTGTTCAGCAAACTCTGATTCAACAACTGGTATGTTTCACTACATAAAGTTGGCACATGCTATTTTTTATGTTAAAATGTTTTACTAAAACATATATGTAGATACATTTAAATAAAATATATTATTAAAGGGGAAATAGAATTAAAAAAGCATAATACATAGATAAGATATACTTTTTTTTTTGTTATATTACCCAGCCCCGTTTATACTTGTTACAAGACTGAAAAGTTAACGGTGAAGTGTGTAATTTTTGTCAGATGTTTTTTTTCTGCAGAAATTACACACATCATGTTGTTCAGCAAGCGTTCAAACCAAGCAAAAGAGTGTAAATATTGCCTCTCGCAATACGAGTGGCTTTAGCCTTGTGTCTAAAAGCATTCGGTTAGTGTGCATTGAGATGTAGCCGTAAACTTTGCGGGGTGAGGGGTTACCCATTCTACAGCAGTATGCTTCAGTGGACCACTCTGGTATACAACCCATTATCTCTCGCTCTCTCTCTCTCTCTCTCTCTCTCTCTCTCTCTCTCTCTCTCTCTCTCTCTCTCTCTCAAAGACACTCACACACATAGATGGAGACAGGAATCAGTAGCCACTCACGTGTCCTGTTGCCTCTGTCCTATTAACCCCATTCCTCTCCCTCCCTATCTGACTGTTGCCTTCAGCGTATAAAGACACTGAGTTTTTGTAAACATGATGCATTAGTCATGTAGTATGTAGCCTAGACTGACCACCCCACTGCCCTACAGTTTACCACTTGTATTATTAACCAAGCAAGAAAGCAAGACGGACAGAAAGAAAGAAAGAAAGCAAGAAAGCAAGAAAGCAAGAAAGAAAGAAAGAAAGAAAGAAAGAAAGAAAGAAAGAAAGAAAGAAAGAAAGAAAGAAAGAAAGAAAGAAAGAAAGAAAGAAAGAAAGAAAGAAAGAAAACTGTGGTGCTGAAATAGGGTGCAGGGGCCTTTTAACCCTCTGGGATCTGAGTTGTTTTCTGGGCCCTAGATGTGTTCTGACATTTGTACTTATTTCTGTTACTTATAACATTTTCATGGCTAAAGTCTGATTACACTGTATTCAGCACAAACTCTGCTACAAAAATATGTAAGCAGCATGTACGTAAAAGTTTTTAGTTTTGAGAAAATGACGTCTATGCATGGTTTGTGAAAAAACTAAAAGAATTTGTCACTGAAATAAGGCCATATAACCCATATTGATTATTTGTTCACAAGACTTTTGAAAATTGCATCACGTAGCTTGGAATTTTTGCTTCAAAAATGTGTGAAAATCATCATGCCCACACATTCAAATAAAACAATGTATTGATTTAAAATTTGTAAGACATGTGTTGTGTAAGAAAGCTTTACGCGAGGAGGGCTTTACGACAGTCACACACATTTGTGCCATTCCTAAAACAGTTACCATTTAAAATTTACCTTTCATCTCCAAAGGAGTTTGCTGTTTTATTTTTACCATGTTCGTGTACGGAGTCTCACGTGAATGTTTAAGTCAGCAGGACTCATTGAAAAAATTCCCCCAAAAAAGTTTTCTGTAAAGAAAAAAATATTATTATTGTTATTAACTATAAATCATAAAAAAGGAGCACGTCAGTACACTACACTAGAGAAAGATATGGATTATCATACGTTACTTGTAAATGTTGGTATGAAATGAGATTGGAGTAAAAACATATCCTTTTTTTTATATATATATTTTTTAAACATATCCTAATGTTTGCCGCGGTTTACTTTTCAAATGCACAGCGCGAGTGACCCAAACTCACAGCGCTCGCATAGACCATTTACTGAAGCGATCGAGTCGCTCCTCGAAACATTATTGTTACCACATTATAATAAACATCTATGTTTGAGCAGATATCCACGAACACAGTATTTCATAGTAAACACCGGTCTATACATTATAATATTCATCATGTTAGTGTAAACACTCATACTAGCCTACTTTTATACCATGCTATGTTTTATATTATGCCTGGTTCAGATTACACGATTTTAGCCCGATTTTGGCACGATCCGTTTGACGTAGGGTGTCGTGGGGATTCGCAAACGACAACGGGCGTCGGGACGCAAGATTCGATCGTATCATCTCGTATAGTGTGTCATAGTGGGCGACAACCTACGTCGCGTCTGCGATGCTTCACGACATCACGATAAAAAAAACTAGCATGTTTAATTTTTTTACGGTCGTCCACGACGGGTTCCGTCACATGTATGAGGTTGACCAATAGGAGCACAGAAGCTTTTCCGTACACAACTTTCAAAAATGGCAAAACGAAAGAGAGACGATTGTGCTACTAGGTGGAGTTATGACATGGAGGAAAGGTTCGTGGAGCTGTGGCAACAGTAACAGAAAACAATATTTTACCTCAAGTTCTCTTTGGAGGATTGACAGCCCATACTGTCCTCTTCGAGCAATCCAGGAACGTGTCCATTGTCGGGTTTTCTTTCTTTTTTAAAGTTTTTCTGAACACAGGACAGCCAACACTCACCGCTTCATCCATTGTTTGTTTATGTTCGTTTCCGGAAGTCACTCGCTACTAGTTTCGCCTTCTCGATGACATCAAGCGCGTCGTTAAAGACGGCACGCGATGACTGGTCAGGAAGCAACGTGTAGTCTGACATGTTTCTTGTCCACGACACGACAAGATTTTAGGAGTCAAAATCGCGTAATCTGACACAGTGACTATCGTAACAGACAAAAAAAATCGTGTAATCTGAACCAGGCATTAAAGAGCATAAAGACATTCTCGTGTCATACATGTATATTTATTTAGCATTTAAAGGTTGCCTACCTGTCTATAGTTCATATTTCAACATGTTTCCGTCGATTACATACATTTTAGTCAGTTTAACTACAATGTGAAGTTTATGCAACAATAACACTAACTAATATGATTCAGAATACATTTCTTACCTTAAAATCTTTCTTATCTTCAAATCGCGTTCTTCTTCTTCTGAGGTAATTCAATGTAAGCTCACAGTGTGTCTTCCAAACTCAAGGAAAAGCAGAGGACTAATGAAGTTTGGTGCTTTGTTTTTGAGGTAATGAGGGCGTTTACAGGTTTGCGTTCCTTCACGTGGACGATTTGCTTGTAAATCTCTTTTGCGCGCGTGGGCGTGGTCACATTAGAATTAATGAGCACGCACTTGAGAAACTGGAACTCTTGATGGTTTCATACAAATTACTTAAACAGAGAATACTTGTTTTCATTTTGAATTAGATAATTCAAATGTATACACTTAAATGTTTATAAAGATATATTGCTGATGCCTGTGCGACTAGTATTCGCTGAGTTTTGTTTAAGTTTAGAGACGTGCTCCAGAAAAAAAGTTCACGGAGAGGCAAAAAGCACACCCTGTTTATTTTCTTTATTTTACAAAAGCACAATGTTTTGTTTTGATTGTAAGTGGACACATACAAAAGTAAACATCTTACAGATTCTTTTTTCATATTAATTTTTTCTGTATGACCATAAATGACGGAGAAATTTAAGTCTATTGTGCTACTATGTGAAAAAAATCCAGTAAAATGCGCTAGGTTTCTACACCTAGAAAAGCATGTAAGTTATTAAAATTTAAAAAAAAATCCATGGCCATAGTTATAATGTGTATACGTATTTCTAGCCAAGCTCCGAAAGAAATTTAGAGTAAATATGTTTTTAAAATCCTTATCCTTATCCAGTATATCACAAACAATTATTGAATATGAGGTTATCGAATATTGTTTAATCTTTTGACAGCCCTGATTCAAAGTCTTCTGAACTATAAAATATTACTATGGTGCTTTTGTTGTTGTTGTTGTACATGGAGCTCAATAGTGTCCGCCATTCACATTCTTTGAAAAGAGTGCCTCAGAGATTCTAAACTTCTTTAGCTGTGTTCAGTGGAAGACAGAAAATCACTTTGGAATGACATGAGCGTGAGTGAACTACTCCTTTAAGTGAGTGAGATAGTATTTGTGTTTTCATTATCACATTTAATCACATTATCACATTAAGGCCAAAACCCAGCATGTGTGTGTGACTTCTGTGCTCTACATACCCTCTATCTCTGCTCTCAATGACCCATAGACTTCTCTAATTTTATTTCCCCATATTTTCATTAGTTGTGGCTGTGCAACCGGGGGAAATACATTCTGCCTGCGTGTGTGTGTGGCAGTAAATCAATACAGTGAGCGTTAGTCTTCTCTCCTCCTTTCTGTAGACTGTCATCCCTCAACTCCCTTTCTCTCTCTCTCTCTACTCTCTCTCTCTCTCTCTCTCTCTAGGTTCTAACAGTTAGACTGATAACGCCTGACCTGAAGGTCACCTGCCGCAAACATCCAAAGGTATTACAGCATTCTGAAGAGATGCAGTCAACAATACAAGCTGGGGAGAGTGTGTTGTGATGGGTGACACAGATGATATAATAGCTTAACTATCTCACTATTGTAGACTTGTGATGTTTAAAACACCATTCTGAAAAGAAGAGGGACAGATGTGGACCATTTCCACAAAGTGTAGAAATGTATTCCTGCAAAGGCAAAGCTGAATTTTCAGCAGTCTTCCGTGTCACATGATCCTTTCGAAATCTTTCCAATACGCTAATTTGGTGCACAATTATTATTGGTGCTTAATTATTAATAATGGTTCCTATTATTATCGATGTAGAAAACAGTTTTTGCTGTTTAATATTATTGTGAAAACTGTAATCTTTTTTCCGGATTCTTTGAAGAACAGTCATTTCAAAAGCATTTATTTAAATCAGAAATCTTTTGTAATATTATAAATGTCTTGCAATCTTTTTTTATCTTTCTTATTTCAATTTTGAATTGTAGTGTATCAAGGTTTCCACTAAAATATTAAGCAGCAACTACAGTGACTACAGTGAACTAAATATCAATTCAACAGATTTTGTGAAAATTATGACATCATATGATTTTAATTGTAGGATACAGTCAATACCTCTGAGATGCATCAGATTCAATGCCCCTTCTTGAAGGGGATACAGACATTTGACATGTTTAAAACTAGCTAATTTTTATATAACATAAAAAACAGCATATATTATCTAGTTCTCACAACAACAACACATGGGGGGAAAAGTAATGTGCCACAGAACAGTGAGATAAAAAAGGAAGGCGTGTCACCCCTGTTTATTTAATGGCAAAAACACAACTTTCTCTTCTTCTCTCACTGGTTTTTGCCACGGCAGAACGTGTGATCAGAATACACTAATAAAACCAACTATTTTTTCTCTGATTATTCATCTTCTCTCCCTCCATCTCTCCTGTCAGCGTGTGACTCACAGCAACAACTGAATCAGAGAAGCATTTAAGTGCAGGAACCAATTTTCCCCACCGTATAAAAACCACATGAGTACGAGAGCCGAGCAATTACCGGCGACGATGACAGCTTTAGGGTGGCGCTCGGGTCGTAAATTTCTCCCTCCGCATGCCATTGGGAGATTTCTACATGCTTTGGATATCAGGACGGACTCCCATAAATCGCAGAAACGTCTATTAGAATTCCCATTCCGGCGTTCCTTTCTCCTAACCCATCTCCTCACGCTGCCTGGGGAGCTAACCTAGAGCGGTGCTAACGGCGGCGCCGTCATGAGGGGGACTGCTACGGGAAGACGAGGGGGACTGCGAGGAGCTAATTTGCACAGGAGGAGGACAGCGGGGCTGAGGAGGCTGCCAAGGAATCGCTGAATGGTCGAGAAAGCAGAGGAGATGTTGGAGACACGGCGAATGCGCCAGAAAATCCACGGAGGAGGACTCGCGAGGCCTAATCAATCAAAGAGTGTGTGCGGTGATTAAAAAGCACTCAGGTGGAATTTGTTACAGTGAAGAGTTTTCTCTCCTCAAAGGAAGAAAAAGAGCCAGTGAGTGGCAGAAACTGAAATACTATAGGAGCCCAGATTACAAAGCCTTGGAGCTAATCATTTCTTCTACAACAGTCCCCAACACTACAACATCATTGTACAAACGGGGGAGAAAAATAGTGAAAAATAGTTAACTAAATAGTGTGAAATTTCAAGTGATGCACCATATATTCTGTGACAGAGCATAAAATATTTTTGATTTTACATTGATGTTTTCATGAAAATTAAGCATTTTTTCCCACGGCATTGATTCTCATGACTGTATTTCAGTATTTTGTACTTTAATATAGTTATACAATTATTATTACTATTTCCATTTATCAAATTTTACTTTAAGCATGCTATCACTTTCAATTGAATGATGTTTGACTGAAAAAAAATGTGCACCGTACAGTAATGAGAATGAAATCTTCACAATATGGTAATGAGAACTGAGGTGAAATGTGCTTAATTATGAAAATTATGCCACAGACTAAAAACAGACTACTTTTTTAAACAAAATATAATTCCTTGTTTCTATATTTTTAACTTTTGGGTGAGATGTAATCAGGTGTTTTGTGAGATTTATCCAAAATGCCTGAAATAGTAAACATAAAATCATATAGTAATAAAATAATTATTTACTATTTATCCACATGAACTTGATTTGAAAGCAGGGAATGACATCATAACAGTGCTTACTTCTCATTGGAGGAGCTGGCCTTCCGCTGGCAGAACATGGACAGGGAGGAGGACCCAGGCACTACTTCTTGCTTGATTTCCCACGCTGCCAGATTACTGGGCTTCACCACCATGAAATTAATGCCTTCCCCATACTGGACTCTAAGGAAATCAAGAACACAGGATTTGAGCCTAAACAACACACCTATATACTTATTCTCTTGACATAACTTTATACAAATTATGCTCAAACACACATTTTCGTTTTTAATTTAGAAAATGTAGCCCCTTAATGATAACATATTGCTTTTTTATTACCCGTTTAATAAATAATCAACTACCACCAGGTATAAAATCCCTAGCAGATGAGTTACATTAATATTTAGTGTTAATTCTACATCCAAATTTAGAAAAGCAACCCCATGGGGGTGTAGATCATACTTTTTTTCTTAATGTTGTCTCAAACAACACATTAGTAAGCTAACACATATTAAACACCTCTGTTTAGGTGTGCACTTATGTACTTTGGAAAGTATACAGTAAAGTATATAATAATATGTGTACGAGTATGTGTGCATTTTTTATTGATAAACCTCTGTCCTCTGTGCCTGTCTGCTGACTCATCTATTCCTCACCTTAGCAAGATTCTGCAGACTTTATTAACACACACACACACACTGCATCTGCCTTTCAATGGCCTTGGAAACAGCAGAGGTGAGATTCCCATAACTTAAACTTTCCTCTGTGGCTCTCACACTTTATTCTCTAGGTTTGGCATTACTATTTTTTCAGAGTCTGTTGTCAGTAGTTACGTTTACATGGACACCGTTTGTTTCAATCGTTTTATACGATTTATGAATCAGAATGCAGTGTTTACATGAACACTAAATATAGTGATCGGCTTGATGTGCGCATTTATGTCACGCTTCAAATTGGAATTTTTTTTTTTTTTACATGCGCGCACTGAGTTTCCCTTGGTTTGAGCACACTATTCTCTAAAATTACTTCTTTTCTTAAATAGGAGACGACAAGCACATGAAGTGACGTGCTGCTTATAGCCTATTTATCAAGCCGTAAAAACACCCATTCCCGGACCGTCTGTGGATGAGTGTCTGAAACAAGGACTGGTGGGACGTTGTCCTGCTCCACTTCACAGATGATGAGTGGAAGGAAATTTTTAGAATGACGCGACAGTCATTTATGACA